TAAGAGTATTTTTAATCTTGACTCAAATTTAAGTTAGGGTTTATAATATTTTTGGTTCTTCAAATATACATTTGCTGTTTTAGCTTGGTCCATTTGCCTTAACAGAAACAAATTTAGAATTGATGGATGTTCGAAATCTCCTTTGGAAGTTGTTCAGTCCTCAAAGATTATCTCCATCAGTTTCCTTCAATAGGACTTTGTGATCCTATTCCACCTCCTCAGATGCATGATGTGTGTTAGAAGGCTCTAGCAGTTGGTTATGTTAAGATTACTTTCGATGGTGCTATTTTCGCTTCCTGTAGATATTCAGGTGTGGGTGTTATTGTACGGAATAATGATGGACAATTTCTGACTGGTTTTAGCACAAGAATTGCTGGGCAGTTAAGTTCTAACAATGTAGCTTCTTGAAGGGGCTTCATTGCCCAAATATACTGGCCAGTCAGGCAAATTTTGCCGCAAGATGTTTAATCTTTCATACACCTGCTCTGACATTCTCTATAAAAATAGACGACTAAAAATATTTTATTAAAATGAGAAATTGTTACTGTGGTTCATTTTCATTTTGTATTGTTTATATTTAATGTATGTTGATTAGATTGATATAGTTTAGACACTGTAAACTTTTATCTACAAAGTATAAGTATAATTCACTCCTTTGGTGTGGGATAATGTACATGGGTTTGACTCTCTCTTTTAACATAAAATTCTGATTTCGTCCTTGCAACCAATGATGGATTTTGGAGGAGTGGATGGAGGTGATCAACCAATGCCCCCTTAAAGAAAATTTTCTCTATACTATTCTTAGATTATTTAGGCTTGTTGTCCTATATATTTGAAAGAAAAAAATTAACAAGCCATTTTATGTATTTTCACTTCTCCTAAGCTAACCTTTTTTTTTTTTCAATGATCAAGGGTGTCTAGGCCAACTTATTCGCACTTCGATTAATTCTATCCCTGATTTGGTCAAAAGCAGGTCATTCACGCAAAAACCATGGGCGGGGCGAGCATATGCCCAAGGGCACATGCCAATCCTCATTTTTTTGTTAACATTACTTACATGTATTTTAAGTATTTCTTCAATATTTTTAACTATGCCCACCTTATTATTTTTTTTTGGCACATCAATTAGTGTATGCTTATATCAAATAAATATGAATTTTTTAAAAAAGATATGATAAATGTATTAGCTAGTTTATTTGTGATTTTGACATTTATTTTGCTAATTACGGTAGACATTATAGAGTGTGCATTGAACTGTATAATCGAATGAGTGATAAATATTGAAATGATAACATGATTTTGTATATAAAGAATATTAAAATTGTTATGCAACAATTTCAAGGTACAAAATTCACCAGAGTCAATTCTAAATGATTTTAATTAACCTATATTTTGTAAAAAGATATGATTAGTCTTTTTTGTTGTTGTTGTTTGTATACATTAGGCTAACTAATTTTTGGTCTATTGGGTTTAATGAACTTTTAAGTATTAAATAGGATGTAATTAAATATAAATTATCATTTTATTTCTATTGATTGAAAGAAAAAAAAAATAGTTGAAATATTTGTGCTCACCCTAACAAGATTTTCTGGCTCCACCCCTGATCGGGACTAAGATATTCATGAGGATAAATCCCTCATGACCTAGTCCCATGGGATTGTTAAGATTTAAATTTAAAATGTCTGAATTTATAACTCGTCCATGTTATTACTTGAACTACCTTTTGAAGTTCTAAGCTAATTTTTTGGATCCAAAATTTCCCGTCGTCACACATTAAGGATAAGAATGTTTTTTTTTTTGCTTGTCCGATAAGAATGGATTTATCAAAACAAGCACACACACGTATGTATATATGAATAATATGATGATCAACAATACATCAAGCAATTCCAAATGCTTGACAAGGATAAGAATGGACCAGCAAGAATCACAACTTTAGAAGGTATAAGGTGAAAGATATTGTAAAAATGTATTTATTCTTTAGACCATGAAAACTTACGCAGTGATGAGACTATTGGTTTTGTAATAAATTTCTGAACTTTTAGTTGACAACAGACATGACAATTATATTATTGGTCAAAAGTTCCTAAAAATAATTCTTCAAAATTCCAGTCTTCACTAATACTCTAAATGCTTAGAGGCCGACCAGAGTGGTTCTAATTCCATTATCCCACTTTCTCATTCTTCAGATGCTATATGCTCTCTATGCTTCTGTGAAGTCAAAGTGTTCCACTAATAATTACTTTGAGAGAATATTGATCTCTCGGAGAGTAGTACCATATATAGTACATAACATACAAGCTTACGGGAGGGTGGGTATGTATATACTAGCTAGTAGCATATCTATACAATGCACGAGATTTACGTTCTATTCCATTTCTTTCTGTTCCATCCGGTTGGTACTTCATTTGTTTATTTAGGAGGGTTAGAGAAACAAGAGAAGTTAAAAAAGAAAAAAGGGGCGAGACTTTGAAGGAGCGAGAGAAGTTGAGGAAGTGGTTATCTTGAAATGTGGAATAATTTAATTGAAAGGTAGTTTGATTAAAAATCAAAAATAGGAAAATTAAAGTATTTTTGGAGAGAACGCTTCCTAAACTCTTTCTTTTCATTTTGTTTCTTTGATAACACACACACACACACACAATGATTGTGCCTAGTTCCAAAGGATTATACCTAATAGCAGGATCGAAGAGAGATAAATGTGATAAACAATTTTACCACCATTACAGACTATTCCCCCCCAAAAAAACAATTTTACCTCCATTCATGACAATACACTCTCCTTGCCTTCATTCAAAGATAAGAATACTCAAGCAATCCTCAACTAAACAAAACTTTTAGCATCAGGATAACTATCAATCACTTGAAACCATTACCAATCTTAATCATTATCATAAATGAATTAGGGAATTTAAGTGGAACAATCAGTTTCTCATCATCTGATTCTTCCAGTTAACGATTCTGACACAAAGCCATTTGCTTTCCCAAAAGCCTAAAGAATATTTCATATAATGCTAAAATAAAGACAACCCTTTCTTCACTACTTTAGTCTTTGAATTGGGTTGAACAGAATTTTTGAATTCTGAAGCTTTTTGGGTGATTAATAAATCATATAAGAAAGTTGCAGTCAGTTGCATTGGATAATGAGGAATAGAATCCCTTTACAATTCATATTCTTGTTTGGAAATTGGAACTTAATCGATAATTCTCAAAGCAACAATAATGATGGTCAATGTTTGATTTCCTTTTCTACTTATGTTTCTTTATTTAAAAGTGGGTGATATTGAACTAACAAGCGATGTAATTAGTTGAGTGGATTCAACCTGGATCTGATTTACTAGTTAATACCCACACTTGAATTTTTGAGCTCAAACTACATGACACGAGCTAGAATTCAAGTTCATACGGGTTCAATTTGTTCAAAAAATTGAGACTTTTTTTGGTAAGTCAAAAAAAATTGAAGTTTGATAGTAAGATTGCATGATTATATGTTACTTGATGAAATTAGTGGGCCTGTCTTGATATGATGGGAAACTAACTAGTGGGCATGTCAAGTGTAATATGCCTTTTCACAAAAAAAAAAAAAAAAAGAAGCTCAAGCATGACAAAATTGTTATGGTAGGTTTTTTTATTTAAAATGATTAATAGTAATGACCAACTATCCTTTTGGCTCGCCCATGTTCCCTAACTTCTAGGTATCTGCAATCGGTTACAAACTATGCACATCAAGTTAACCAAGTTTTTTTTTGGGGAGACTCGAACTTTTGGGACACTGAGCTATTGACTGTAATGGTAATATAGCCAGCCAAATCAATCTAAATGTATTTGCCACAACTTCTTTAACTTTAAAAGGAAAGATAAAGGTGTAAGAACACATTCCTTAAGTACTTTATGTGCAGTACATCTTTTCAACTGTGCATGGAAAGACATGAGGAATAGGTTTTTATGGGAGAATATTTGATAGGATATTGGTCCTAACTTGGGCTTTTAAAGAATAACTCACATGATGGGCTTTTTGAATTTTAGATAAGCTTCTGGCCCATCTCCAACCTAAATGGCAATTTTCTACCTATGACAGTACTAGGTCAGCGTCAAAAGAAAGAAAATTGGATTGATTGCAGTAAATTTGAATAAATTTAGATGGCGATAGGGTAGTCTCAAAATGGAGGTTTTTCGCCTTTAAGATTGCATAGAATATATTTGAGGCCTGTTATCTTTACATCCCTAGCTCATAATCAAAGTGGTCTTGTGCGATCTCATGCGCGACCATCAAGAAGTTGGCTAGCCTGCATGCGATTACAAAATCGCATGTAGAAGCCCCATAATCCCCACCCCCCTCTAAAAACAAAGTTATGCATCCTCAGCGACCCTAACACAAGTTTGTATACCTTATGTCTAAATCCCTTAAAAATATAGGTGTTTGCTCTGAAAATATGTGTAGATCGGTTTTTGGAGACTAAAAAAGTGAGAGTTGAGGAGGAGTTATGTAAGTATTGGTTGATATGGAATGGTGGTATATGGTATCATGGTAATATGACCATAACCATCCATGGTTAAGTGTTTAAACATTAATCACCTTAAATTTAGAGAAATTTCTAGGCTCCATTACCAAACGTCATTATGGGAAAGGCCAATGCCTAGTACGGAGTTAAAAATTCTGAACTAATAACTTTGAGGTTGTATGTTCAAATACCAGGATATTTATCTTATATCAATAATGTCAAACACTATGTTTATATCTAGTCTAGGCTGTCTAGCCATCCAAACACCTCCAATTGAATCAACAATAGTTATTTGTGGAAAATAACATTGTATTCGACCCTATCCTCTAGAAGTGGGCTCCATGCTATTCCTCGTTATTGATTTGATAGTATCTGTCTAATGTAGTTTTAAACTTGTGATGACATGATGAACCCGATCTAATAAATAGTTATGGCACCCAAACAAACACATATTGGTCTTGATTTTTCACATTATTCTTTTAGTTTTCATTTTTTTAGTTCTTATGTGGAAGGCAATATTCTCACAATTTTCCAGCAGACAAAAGGGATATTCAGAAGAACGATTTAAAGAATATCACGGTACGTGTCACGAGGAGAATCTCTGGCATGCATTGCAGGTACATAGAGAGAGAAAGAAAAAAGGGGCGGGAAGAAGAGAATCTGCAGAAAAGGTTATGGTTGGAGTCTTGTACGAGAAGACTGATTTTAGAAAGTGACCAACCACATCATTTCAAAACCTGTCCCTTTCCCTGCCAAGGGAATTGGATGCGCTCTCTCTCTCTCTCTCTCTCTCTCTCTCTCTCTCTCTCTCTGTTTTTATTGAAGAAGTTCTCTCTTGGTACTAAAATTACTGGTTCCATCGGGTCTGGTTAAGTTACTGTTTTCCTCATTGATCTCTTACTCATTTAAAAGAAATTGTTGTTTTAATTCAAGACCCAAACTTTTAAGCTAACTAGAAGGTATTTGGATCCCTTAAGAGTATCTGATTAACTTATTGAACATATACAACCTTTCATTTCACAAGTATCCGAAAGAAA